TCCCACAGTACGCAGAACATGGAAATGCATTTATTTTAATAAATATAAACTGCTAAATACCTTTTCTCATCAGATGTTAGAGCAGTCTTGTGGCTTCTATCAGTGTCCAGCCCAGCACTAGCTAAAGCTTGTAGGAGGAGTTTTCTTTCTGCTCTAGGAGGATGCAAAACCCCTGACCTCTGTCTGGACAGTGCTGATTAGCCCTGTGCTGATCACGTGCACTCTCCCAAGAAAAAAAAAACCCCTCTAGCAATACACACCAAACTGAGCATGTGCAAATATCTACAGTTCAGTCTGCCTTACCAGGAGGTAAGAGGTGGCCGCTTGAAAAAGGGGAAGAACAGAGAAGAAAGGATCAAATGGCCATTTTACACAACGCAGAGGATTAACCCCCTAGGTTCTACAGTGAGTATAACAAGCATATACTGCATATACAGACTGATTTTACAGATGTGGGTTTAGTAACACTTTAAATCATGCGGCTGGGAACTGCAGATGTTACTGTCTAGTCTATAAAGTCATCATTCAAGCAATCATGTTTTCTTCCAACCTCTCGATGATTTAACGGTGTTTAAAGAATACCTTTAAGGTTATTTTATTTCCCATTAAGGGGACACATCATTAATCAATGCCCAACATCCTTCAGGGAAATGCAGTTCTTATGCAGTTGACAAGAAATACTGACATAAAATGGAGGGAATCAAATACTGTGTGGAAGACCCAAACTCTAAATGTCTGCCCTTACAAACACAACATACAAATACAGTATATGTGTACAATAACTATTCTCCTAGTGGAGAGAACACTTCCGATAAGACAAGACTAAAATAGCTGTAGTGTTGCTTCCGTACACAAAGTCCTGTTAACACAAAGACCTAGAAAGGGAAAGGCTAGACATGCCCATTAGTTTTTATTTTTTTTTAAATGACCTAAAAAGGGATTTGTAGAAGTGGACAACATACACAAGTGGCCTTTACCACTTAAAACATGTTATTCTCATTTTGGTCCTAAGAGGGTCTGAAGCTGGTCCAAAAAGGGTAGTGTTTGGAAAGGAGTGCAACAATGAACATAAATTAAAACAACACTAGTGTTTAACTGAAGGCAGTGTAGGTAGCTTATGATTTTATTTTCTTGGGGCAAAAAAATCTTCCTCTGCTAAATTCAGAAAAGGGTCAGTGCAGCAAGCAGCAGGATTCCTATCCATAGTCAACATATTTTACAGTTCCATATTAGAGTAGGCTATATTGCTGACAAGTATCTGTGCAATTTCAAAAAGGCAGTCACACTAGTCACTCCAACCGACCCTTTAAAGGGAAACTATAACTAAACATGTAAAATTAAACTGCATAATGTAAATATTCTCATCAATGAGAAATGTTTTGTTTCGGGGTATAGCTTGCAAGTCTGCAAATATGAAATATGCTGGCACTGCTGTGCTTCCTGCTTAGTAGTTCTGCACAAGGACTGTGCTCTATTGTTCCTCTTTTCTATATGTGCACATCTACTAGTCAGATCTGGACTACGGGCAACAAAGATGCTAGAAGTTTCACTGAGCTATGAAAGAACTAATCACAGCTGGGCTTGAGGAAAAATGTAAAGATTCAGTCTTGTTAGAACAGTGAAAGGATTACTTACGAAGTACCCACGAGCCCCCTAACGGAGCTGTAATTATTTTGAGCCTGACTTGGCTTGAGATTTAGGTATCAACTGAATTTACGCACGCTCTCTAAACATCTCTATGTATATGACCAGAAAACAGAGCATCCCGTTTACATTGTTCTTAAAGTGGAACTCCAGCCTCACCCATTTCTGTCCCATGTGCTTCTGCCTCTAGCGCTTGATGAAAAACTTTCATTTAATCCTGCTCTTTCATTTTCTCCCTTCCCCTTCCCCAGTTTGACTGCTTTAGACACCCCCTGGGCTTCAGGGGTGGCAATCACTGCTGCTGTGTCCAATGTGATGTACATAATATCCATAGAGCCATTTTTATCTAGATAGGAAAATGATTGGAAACCCCACCTACTGTGCATACTAAATCCAGGCATGATAACATACAGTACCATAGGTTTCTTTGTTGCTATGTGTAAATGCTGTTGTTTCACAGGGAGTAGAACCGACGTGTAGATGTGTTGTATGATCAATGTTATACATAAACAGTAAGGCTTATGGGATGGTAACTCAGACTAATGTCTTATGTTGTGTATTGTGATTTGTTCTGCAAATGTACGGTATGTATCGTGCTTTACAGTCTATTCACATTTAGGCAAAACTGTGTGTATTGGTTTAGATAGCTGTGATGTCTTCTTTTTAAAAGGTAGAAAAACCTTGAATAAATGTTAAAAAAGAGAGGAAAAAAACTGTACAGCATGCAGGAAAAGGTGGGGGGGAGGGGGGGTTAGGAGTATAAAAATATAGTTTGCTGCAGACTGGAGTTCTGCTTTAAATGCAATATTTGAAACTGATATGCAGTCAAAGCAAGTACAGCTAAGTAAGAGGACAGCTATTTTTTTTTTCTTTTAAAAGAAGGCCTATGATGTTAGAATATGCAATCTTCAATCACCATGATCTTTGCATAAGCCCTGTTATGACTCTCTAAATGGGGATGGCAAACTTCCCTGCTAAAGAAATGAACAAAACAAATTGCATTTATACAAAATAATAAAAGAGCACGGCAAGTAAAACTGTGAACGTCAGGTCAAATGTTCCTTCCACTCAAATGTTACAAATCAAAAGATGTACTCGGTGAAAATACACTATAGTTTCCCTTTAAGAAGCTGGGAATTCTGGGGTACCTGTTAGAACCAAGAGAGTCAGCAGTGTCCTATGTATTTACTCTGGTTCCCACATAAAGCATTTTTTGCCTGTACTTCCTTCTGCTTGTCAGAAAGTAAATAATGTTAAAACACTTAAAAAGCCCTTCCAAAAACAGAATGTAACGTTTATAAATTACAATTTAAAATGGCATAAAATCACTTCCAACTTGCAAATTTTGAATTGCTTGCTAAAATAAAATAGGATGGTAAAGACATAAAAGACATACAATGATTTAAAAGGAAAAAAAAAAATCCTTGTTCCACCCTTAACCATCAACATAAAAAAGAAAGGGTAACTGCTTCTTCAGGCCCTCTTATACATAAAATACATACATACATACATATATATAATATATATAATATACAGCTTACAGATTCAAAGTTCCGTAATGCTTCCAAAGCTGAGTGTAGCCAGTGCTCTAACGCGCCTTGCTCACCATAAATAGTATAATCTCCGCCTAACTTGAATCGCGAATAGTATACAAAACACTTAAAACGTGGACAAGAGAAAGTAAGGAGGAGGCATTACCAGAGATTATTCACAGTGAAGAATACAGGTTATTCCTGTATTAGACTGCTTGTGGATGGGGGACTCATGCTTTCGGCAGGAAATTTGGAGGTTAAATACTGAGCAACTGCCTCATAATACAAAGATACAATTCTACCGCACATTTAAAATTACACAGATGGCTTCACTTCTCAATATGTGCTGAAATAAGAACAGTCGGTATTGTCCACAGCTGCCAATCAGATTTTAACAGACATTCCAACAGTTCTGTGTTGCTAAAACATGGCGCCCATTGAGACTTTAGCTAGTATTTTTTCCAGTCTAAGCTTCCAGAAGTTCATTTCTGATTGGCTGCCATGCATTATTGCCTACACTGATCATTGCAAATTAATAAACAAACTCATTAGTGTGTATTGGCCAATATATATTATATGCACATGTGTTTTTCACATTCGTGCACATCTGCAGATATCCTGTGAGACAATGAGGTGGATTCATTAAAGGCAAATAGCTCTGCAGCAACTGCACTTGCAAAGTGCACAGTCATAGTAAATGAGGAAAAGCTTCACTTTGCAAAGAATACCCAATCACATGCAATGAGAATAAAAAAGAACAGTATTGTGCTTGCACGTGATTAGATAATGGAAGTCAGCACAGTTTTTCCTCATTTATTACACTCAAACAACTGCACTTGCAAAGTGCAGAGTCTATTTGCCTTTAGTAAATCCACCCCATTGCCCTTCAGCTCTAGTCTCCAAAGATCACCAATGGTGGCCACACACTCTTCAACTTTCTGGCACATTTGGAGCTTTCCATCAGCTTTCAACTACACCTATCCACCTTCCACTGATCTATTTCCCATTTTCCAGTGGCAAAGGTTGAAAATGGCATTGGCAATTAAATGCTAAAATGCTTTTCTGGCACTGAAATGGTTTTAGAAATGTTTCCCCAAAATGCTGATCATTTGGTTGCTCTGAACTGGAAAACATGAAATGGTGGTAGATTGCTCTACATGAAAGCTGATAGAAAGCTTCAAAGATAGCTAAGATTTACAGACCATGGGGTAAATTTACTAAAACTGGTGCACTCAGAATCTGGTGCAGCTGTGCATGGTAGCCAATCAGCATCTAACTTCAGCTTGTTCAATTAAGCTTTGGCAATAAAACCTGAAAGCTGATTGGTTTCTATGCAGAGTTGCACCAGATTTTGCATTCTCCAGTTTTAGTAAATAAACCCCGTGTCTTTTAGATTTCTAAAGAACAACAAAGTTGCATTAATCAATAAACCTGTAAATGAAGCATTCCAATTATTTCACCTCGGATTCTCTAAGGACATCCTTTCAGCATGCACTGCCAGAGGTCCATGAGCACTGGAGTTTGAACATTTCTACACCACTCTCTTTACATAACTTGTAGAAGCTGTAGTGCTTTCAGTGCAGATTTATAGATGTAGTGTGAATGGAAAAAATATGGTTTCAAATTTCTGGTAAAATAAGTCACTTAGTAAAATGCAGCACACTGCACTGCAGGAATAGTCTAGATGATCCTATTTGCTGGGTTCAGCCCAATCAACTCCAAATGTGCACTGACCATGGTAACTTCAAGGAATAAGGTTTTTCGTCAAGAATACACAGCCCACAGCATGTTCTTCTCTCTCATACTTTCCCTTTGACCCTTGGGTCATGTGGCACCAGCTTCTAGGTAACTCTGTAGCTTGCGAACAGTTGTTTCATCCAATGAGAAAAGATCAAAGTCAAAAGTTGTGTTTGTGACATTGAAGTGGCCTGTTTCTTCTATAAGATTAACGATCTGAGGAAGAAGATCACACACATTGATTAAGATAAACAATGGTTTTTGATTTGTATGTTGAATTGCTTTCATGCAATGTATCTATTATAACTTTTCAAAAACCCCAAAAGAATCAGTTATGTTTGTACCACCTGCTAAATGGATGTAATATTTTATAGAAATCCTAGCTCTTCCCTCAGTCACAGTGATCCTGACTTGACATCATTGCAAGCAACAGTATCACACATTCTGATTACTGTATTTATTGTATCATGGCAAATCCAGTCCTCTACTCAACTGAAGTCATCCCCTGTCACTGTCCAGCTCAGTAACAGGAAGAGGTGTGAGTGAGATGTAGAGAGCTACTTAGGATGTGGTAAGTTCACTGCTTGCTATCCTCCCTACAGCAGTTGTACTGCGAGTGGGCGGCAGCTGCAGATCAAACGATGTCCTGCTAAGTCACAGCCTTTCTTCCAGATTTTGGGTGTGCATTCCCTGCCAACCCATGCTGTGACTGGACACAGCACAAGTTTGGTAGCTGATTTCATCCAATGATTTTGGCTGAAGTCAGCTGATCGGCTGTGGCCAATCACACACAGGGAACAGCGGCTGTTTATTATCCCTGCAAAGCAGAGAGAAAAAACAGACAGATAGCAAAGAAAAATCAGCACAAAATACACACATCACACATTGTTAGGCACACAGTTAAACCCTTTGAATTCCCCTAGATGTTAACCCATTCCCAGCCAGTGTCAGTGTACAGTATTATCACTGATCTCTGTATTAGTGTCACTAGCGATTTCAGTTTTAGTTAGTGATTGTGACCAGTGTTAGTCGCTGATCACTGCCATTAACACTATAAAGAGTTTTCTTTAAAAAATGTTGATTTTTTTTGTTTATATTGTAAAGAATAAACCCAGTGGTGATCAAAAATTACCAAAAAAAAAAGCTCTATTTTATGTGAAAAAAATGATAAAAATTTAATTTACGTACAGTGTTGCATGATTGTGCAATTTCCACTTAAAGTAGCACAGTGCTGAATAGCAAAAAAGATGGCCTGGTCATGAAGCAGGTAAAACCTTCTGGAGCTCAAGTGGTTAAAATTAATGCTGCCTGGAGTTATATTAAATGATTGTCATGTCTTGTGTTTATCAAAATAAAAAAAACCTACTAAAAAAATAAAATCTTACAAGGACCACAAGAAAAGGTTTCCCCTCATAACAATGAAAGAACAGAATAATTTTACAATTAATGAATGTAATTGTTAAATACAGATATACGATTAACGCAATCGAATGAACTCAGATTTCCACACAGAGTTTTCCTCCCCGACTTCAAACTGCAATAACAGGAACCCACCTGTTGCAGGATGTTCCTCTCTCGCAGAGCCATCAGTCTTCTGTGCAAATCAACTAATTCATCTGTGTATGCCTAAAGAAGAAAGAATTGAGGGAAACGGAGGAAAAAAAATGTTGCAAACTCCACCTAATAAAATACTTGACCAAAAAGTTAACCCAAATGTACCTTGTCATACACTCCCTTCTTTAACATTTTATCCGACTTGCTGCAAGTCTCAGGACTTCTATGGCCAGAGCTCTGTACGAAAGGAATAATATGGATATTATGAATAAATATTGCATATTTACAGCAGGAAAAATATATTTTTGATTTTAGAGAACACACTAGGTATAACTCTGACACACCACAAAGTTAAAAAAAAAAAAGAAGAGTAGTCAGCTAGTTGCAATCTGCCTTCAACTAAAGGCATGCAACAATCACCCAGTCCAACTTGTTTATAAGCCGCTTTCATATATGTACACACACATACGCGGCACTCAGATTTTTAATACTAATGTGTCACTGGGGTACAAACTACTATTTCACCAAAATTGTGCTTGCTATTAACAATATCAATTTTTATTCACCTGAACTGCAAGTACCCCACCCTGTCATTTAAATTCTCAACATTTTAAACTTTAAAAATATATATATATTTTTTTTATTAATACTTTCATTATCCACTACACTTTTGACAGAAAACATAATCACTTAGTTACTATGGGTAAAACAAATGGCGATGGCTAAGCACAATTTTGCAACTTAGACATGTGTTCGACATGTGTTCGTAAACCTGTTCATCACCAAAACTACTTTGTGTACATGGGTGGATTGTACCTTGTTTTTTTTCTTTAATGGTAAATGGTAATAAGTATTACCTTTTTTTTTTTAATTATCAAAAGGAAAACTGGTCCAAAATAGAAAAAATATATTTTTTTTTAATTTAGCTGTATATTTCTTGCTATTACTATAACCTACCACCAAAGAACAACCCAAAATAAATTCTCCTGTTCCTGATTGATTGCGATACCACATATGTGTATGTTAGTTGTTTGTACCCATAGTAGGGCCTGGAAACATAAGGTGCACATTTTGCATTTTCTTTATCCTGCCTGAAACACACTGACACTGATATGAATTAAAAAAAAAAAATTCTACCTAAAATATACTGGCTGTGACCTTTCAACCTGACCTTTACCTTGACCCTAACACTAAGCCTGGCAAACCTTGATCTAGTTATGTTTTTCCATTTCTTTTCTTTTTTTTTTTTTTTTTTTTTACACACTTCGCTTGTTTGTATCAACCTCTCCTGCAAAAAGAGAAATATACAGTGTATTGAGAAGAGGAAGTAAACATAGAAGTGGGCTCACAGTGACTGATCACTGTGATATCCAATCAGAGGCTATGACAGCGATCAGATGACCCCGAGCAGGCAGTCCTGATTGTTAGTACGAGACCCAAAGATCTTGTTGAGAGCCCGGTATCTGTGCTGGAAGCGCGCTGTGTGGCATGCTCCCAGCACAAAGATAGATACAGATATATGCAGCCCCACAGATAAACACCCACAAGGGTTAAGAAAGAAAATTAGATTTCTGACTAAGCTATACATGGCTGGGTTATATACAGCTACCTTCTGATAATTGGACACAGGCAAGCAGAACTGTAAGAACCCCAAAATAACCCCTCCTACTTCCAGCAATCCTCACTTTTGGCAATCAATAAGAGGATACACAAAGGATGAGTTCCTGTACAGTACTCCAAGAAAAGTCAAAAATTGACAAATGTATAAATAAAATTTAACTGAGGAGTTGGCAACACAGCAAACAAACACCATCAGGTGCACAAAACAGAGAGCAGAACCCAAACCTAAACAGCAGCAGCTTCAAACACCCCATGGCCAAAGTCAGCACCACTGGAGGCATGTACAGTATCTCACAGAAGTGAGTACCCCTTTGTACATATTTTATTATATCTTTTCATGTGACAACACTGAAGAAATGACACTTTGCTACAATGTGACGTAGTGAGTGTACAGCTTGTATAACAGTGTAAATTTGCTGTCACCTCAAAATAACTCAACACACAGACATAAATGTCTAAAAACACTGGCAACAAAAGTGAGTACACTCCTAAGTGAAAATGTCCAACTTGGGCCCAATTAGCCATTTTCCCTCCCCGGAGTCATGTGACTTGTTAGTGTTACAAGATCTCAGGTGTGTTTGCTGAAGACAAGCAGACTAAGGAAATTGATTACTGGAACCATGTCCTGTGGTCTGATGAGACCAAGATAAACTTATTTGGTTCAGATGGTGTCAAGCGTGTGTGGTGGCAACCTGGTGAGGAGTACAAAGACAACTGTGTCTTGCCTGCAGTCAAGCATGGTGGTGGGAGTGTTATGGTTTGGGGCTGCATGAGTGCTTCCGGTACTGGGGAGCTACAGTTCATTGAGGGAACCATGAATCTACTGTGACATACTGAAGCAGAGCATGATCCCGTCCCTTCGGAGACTGGGCCGCAGGGCAGTATTCCAACATAACGACCCCAAACACACCTCCAAGATGACCACTGTCTTGCTAAAGAAGGTGATGGACTGCCCAAGCATGTCTCCAGACCTAAAACCTATTGAGCATCTGTGGGGCATCCTCAAATGGAAGGTGAAGGAGCACAAGGTCTCTAACATCCACCAGCTCCATGATATCGTCTCCAGTGGCAACCTGTGAAGCTCTGGTGAACTCCATGCCCAAAAGGGTTAAGGCAGTGCTGTAAAATAGTGGTGGCCACACAAAATATTGTTACTTTGGGCCCAATTTGGACATTTTCACTTACGGGTATACTCACTTTTGTTGCCAGCGGTTTAGACATTAATGACTGTGTGTTGAGTTATCTTGAGGAGACAACCAATTTACACTGTTATACAAGCTGTACACTCACTACTTTACATTGTAGCAAAGTTTCATTTCTTCAGTGTTGTCACATGAAGAGATAGAATAAAATGTTTACAAAAATGTGAGGGGTGTACTCACTTCTGTGAGATACTGTATATACATCTGTTAGAACATCGCAAACTCATGAATAGACCAGGTGGCAGCCTTACAAACCTGAGCAACCACAGACTTAGTAAAGCAATGCAAAGTACAGGACACTTTTTCATGAAGTACATGGTAACAAAGACACATCAGGAATACAAAATCTTGAGGTAACACAATTTTAAGTTCTGCTTTAAGCTAAGGGCGATTTTCTCTGTGAAGGAGAAACAGTTAATTACCTTCGGACACTAGCACAAAACTGAAGATGCATGGAGTGGGGTAGGGTTATAGGGGAGGTACACAGGGGGTGTTTCCTCTAAAGCTTTGCCAGTGTCTAGTCAACTATAGGTACACACCTATCCATGGTGTATGAATACGCTGTGTTGTGTCCTGTAGATCTCTACAGATACAATTCCTAACTAAACTTTAGCTTTAAAGTGAATTATAAGTGAATAGATAGATAAAAATATAATTTTTGTACCTTGTTATTTGTTGGTGGCATCTTCTGTATGGGGGTGGTACCACGACTAGGAGCACAAGAGTCATCACTGCTGTCACTATCACTGTCACTCAAGCTCATTCTGTCAGGGCACATACAGACAAGCAAAACCGTAACAAAATATTAACACCTCAAAGTTTATTTCCACAGTAAAACTTGAGAAAACCCAACTATATGTTTGCTATGTGTTCCCACTCACATAGCATACCTAAATATCAAATTTTAAAATATTGCTTACATTTAGACATTTCTTAGGAGAAGGTCTCATGGCTGACAGCAAGAATTTCTCAATTAGCTCAGCAGGATCTGTCTCAATAGCTGAGCTGGGGACCGTTTGAGTCCATTTTAATATAACATACAACAATTTTTTTAAGCTGGTCATACATGGATCCAAACTCGCCTGGTTCAGCAGGACCTGGCCAAAATTTTGATCCATGTGTGAACACTGTGGTTGAAAAGAAGTCAGTCTACTGAACTTCCATTCAACTGCCCTGCCAGTATTTTACTGCTCAATCAGCACCACAGGTAACAGGCTGTGGTGCGATCAGTGTATTCTGATGGCAGGTAAACTGCAAATTTTAAATCTTTTTTGAGTTATGCTATGTAAACGGAGTCACGTAACAAATATAAAGTTGGTAATACCCCAATTTGGCTGCAAAAGGTAAAATACATTGGAACTATATACATTTTTATTTTTGTTTTAGATAGAAAAAAGGAGGATGGGAAGGTTATAACAGTGAAGGAGGAAAATTAGCTGTTTGCAAATTTTATAATAGAAACAAAGAAAACCCTTTTTTCATATTATTTGCTTTTTTTTTTTGTTTATAGTGCAAAAACTAAAAACCCCAGTGGCGAGTAAATACCACCAAAAGAAAGCTCTATTTGTGTGAAAAAAATGCAAAAAAATTTCATTTGGGTACAGTGTAGCATGACCACACAATTGTCGAAGATGAGGATGCACTGACACGCAGCACTGATGGGCACTGATAGGTAGCATTAATGAGGCAGTGCTGATGAGGCGGCACTGGTGGGCATTGATGAGGAGGCACTGATACGCAGCAATGATAGGCAGTGATTGGCTGCACTGACTGGAGGCAATGATGGGGCGGCACTGCTGGGTGACACTGGTGTGTGCTGCTGGGGGCGTGCAGGGTGGGTGTGTTCTGGGAAGACATCCATGGGCACCCTCCTAGAACTGGACAACCACGCTGTAGCCGTCTTTTGGCTATAACGCGGTTGGGAAGCAGTTAAAGTATAGCTAAAGGCAAAACTTTGTTTTTTAATTTTGGATAGAATGGAAAGGGATTAGAGCACCTGTCAGTTTTTATTGCTGCCTCTACCCTATTAGGGAGATTCACCCTCTCTATTTGTCCTGTCTACTATTATCACTGAAAGTGAAAGTAGAGGAAAATCACAGAAAAGTAATAGAGAGGGAATCTTCCAATGGGGACACTACAGGTGAAACTTGAAAAATTAGAATATCGTGCAAAAGTTCATTTATTTCAGTAATGCAACTTAAAAGTAATAATATATGAGATAGACTCATTACAAGCAAAGCAAGATAGTTCAAGCCGTGATTTGTCATAATTGTGATGATTATGGCTTACAGCTCATGAAAACCCCAAATCCACAATCTCAGAAAATTAGAATATTACATGCAATCAATAAAACAAGGATTGTACATAGAACAATATCCGACCTCTGAAAAGTATAAGCATGCATATGTACTCAGTACTTGGTTTGGGCCCCTTTTGCAGCAATTACTGCCTCAATGCGGCGTGGTATGGAAGCTATCAGCCTGTGGCACTGCTGAGGTGTTATGGAAGACCAGGATGCTTCAATAGCGGCCTTCAGCTCTTATGCATTGTTCGGTCTCATGTCTCTCATCTTTCTCTTGGCAATGCCCCATAGATTCTCTATGAGGTTCAGATCAGGCGAGTTTGCTGGCCAATCAAGAACAGTAATCCCACGGTCACTGAACCAGGTTTTGGTGCTTTTGGCAGTGTGGGCAGGTGCCAAGTCCTGCTGGAAAAGGAAGTCAGCATCCCCATAAAGCTCGTCTGCGGAAGGAAGCAAGAAGTGCTCCAAAATCTCCTGGTAGACGGTTGCGTTGACCCTGGACTTAATGAAGCACAGTGGACCAACACCAGCAGATGACATGACTCCCCAAATCAACACAGACTGTGGAAACTTCACACTGGACTTCAAGCATCTTGCAGTGTGTGCGCCTCCATTCTTCCTCCATACTCTGGGTCCTTGGTTTTCAAATGAGATGCAAAAGTTGCTCTCATCAGGACTTTGGACCACTGAGCAACAGACCAGGTCTGTTTTTCTTTAGCCCAGGTAAGACGCTTCTGACATTGTTTGTTGTTCAGGAGCGGCTTGACAAGAGGAATACGACATTTGAAGCCCATGCCCAGGATCCGTCTGTGTGTGGTGGCTCTTGATGCACTGACTCCAGCCTCAGTCCACTCCTTGTGAAAGTCACCAACACTTTTGAATGGCCTTTTCCTGACAATCCTCTCCAGGCTGCAGTCATCCCTGCTGCTTGTGCACCTTTTTCTTCCACACTTTTCCTTTCCACATAACTTTCTATTAATGTGCTTTGATACAGCACTTTGGGAACATTCAACTTCTTTTGCAATTACTTTTTGAGGCTTTTCCTCCTTATGGAGAGTGTCAGTGATAGTTTTCTGCACAACTGTCAGGTCAGCAGTCTTTTCCATGATTGTGATTCCTACTGAACCAGACTGAGAGACCATTTAAAGGCTCAGGAACCCTTTGCAGGTGTTATGGCTTAATTAGCTGATTAAAGTGGGACACTTTGAGCCTAGAATATTGCACCTTTTCACAATATTCTAATTTTCTGAGATTGTGGATTTGGGGTTTTCATGAGCTGCAAGCCATAATCATCACAATTATGACAAATCACGGCTTGAACTATCTTGCTTTGCATGTAATGAGTCTATCTCATATATTACTTTCACCTTTTAAGTTGCATTACTGAAATAAATGAACTTTTGCACGATATTCAAATTTTTTGAGTTTCACCTGTAGTTCTTGTGATCTTGGGATGCCCAAGGGATTCCCTCAATTTGCAAGGATTTCCTCTCATTTCCTTGTTTGGCTATGGGACAGGAAGTGAAAATAAATCTCTCCGATGAGGCACAGATGGCAAAAAAAACTGACAGGGGTTATAAAGGATTTTTTTACAAAATGGAAAAAAAGTCTATAGTTCTGCTTTGAAAACAGACAATGAAATAAAAGATGCCTTCTTTATTCTCCATACTAGCACTTTACTCACCGAGAATCTCGACCTGCTGTTTTATTCTTCGGTGTTGCCTCCTCCCCGCATGAGCTGTCATCATCAGACTCTTCTGACTGAAGATCTGCCACCATAGATCGCAAAGGGCCTAGTTCGTAAAAGATAGAAAACCAACACATAAACCCTAGTTTGAATGCAAAATCAATCATTCCTGTGATTTTATTTTCATGGTGGTGTTCACCAAGAAAGATCATTTAAAGAGGTATCTCACAGTACATAGGAAATGGAAAAAGCCTTTGTAGCTGTCCAAAATGAACTGTTAAACCCAGCTTGCATACATTCAGGCCATATTACCGTAGGAATATTTTAGCAGCTTACAAGTGCAGTGCTAGCCTCAAAAGTGCTTAGCACCTGATAATTAGCGTGTTGAGAAAAGCACTTGTCAGCAGGAGAGATGTGTAACCCAACCTTAGAATTTAATTAGGTAAAAAAAAAATTGAAACTGGAATTGAAATTATGACAACCACAATGGTTTATCTACCCTCCTGAAAAAAATGTATGAAGGTTTGTGCCAAGAAGAAAGAAAGGAATGGTGAACATGCGAAGGACGTTAAGGGATGTAAAGAGAAAATAAATTGGGTCCAATGGCCTGGATTCATTAACCTGCCCAGTACTTAAAGTTGACCTTCCACCATAGTGGCAATGTCTGTTTATTCAAGTCGCCCCTCTCTCACTAACATGCTGCATTAATGTACTTGTGGGGCGAAAAATAACTAGATAATATACACCTTTCCTTGACGTTCTCCCTGAGCACCTAGGAGAGGGTGACATCACCTTGCTTCCAGTCAGATCTCAGTAATATGTTGAGTAGCATAAATCTTGGGAGAAGACGGTCCTACACTGTGCTGTAGCACATTCTGAGATTTGGGCTACTCAGCATTTCTAGGGATCTTGTCAGTAGTATGATTACCCCATATAAAATCAGGGAAATATATTATGTAACTACCCCTCCCCACAGGTACTTATACAGCATTTGGGGGTTGGGGGGGGGGGGGCACTATGAAAAAGCGGACCCTGCCAAGGAGATGAAGGTCCCTTTTTAATGTGTCCTAAAGTAATATTTAAAATTAATATTTTTAGATTATCACGTTCCTTCGCTAATACTAATTTATTTGCTCTGCCAATAGTTGCAGTCACTTCCCTTTGTGCCACAATCGGCCTCTATTTTTATGCAATTTTATCATGTCCCAAGTACTGGTGCAGCTTAAAGAATCCGAGTCAGTGTTTTTTCATGTGAGCATGGAAAAAAAACAGCTAAATATCCTTATTAGGGTTCCATTCAGGGTCCATGCACACTGGGCTTAAAAAACACTGCTGCTAAAATGAGTTTTATGTGTTTTTTTTCCCCTTTCTGTAGAAGCAGCTCAATATTATCCTATGTATTCATGCACATTAGGATGTTTAGAGGCATATTTTAATTTCGGTGTTGAGAGGCAGAAAAAAAAAAAACCCTTCTGGATTGCATTTTTGAGAGGAGTTTTCTGCCAGAAAAAAAAAACCCGCTAGGCATGCCTAAACGCGTGTACAAAGACTTTCTATATGAGCGTTTTTTCTGCCAATGTATGGATCTTAACTTGGCTAATTTTATGCGTCTTCAGGCTAGACTGTGGAAAGCTTTTCAAAAGAGAAACCCCTAATCTGACACTTGAAAAACCTGGAACTTCTATATGTGAGGCAAACATGGAAATTCTGCATAGGACTTTCCTGGGGCCAGAATGGTGGATGAGGGGTCTAGGCAGCTCACTTTATAAAAGCAACCACCTTAGTGCACTGTTATCGTGTTGTGTTTAAAAACCTTAGAAGGGGTTTACATTAAGCATCCACCTTCTTTGCAACTGCAGTCTCCAACATGCCTCCTCGTCCTGTATAAACAGGCTCTTTTTCTAGAAAGCAAAACAATGCTGCACATTTTGCATTTTCTGAAGCTGTAAAGTGCGCTGGCTTTTTACTTCTATTTTCCCTTGAGAGATCAAATGGATTTGATTGCTCAGGAAAGCAAATAAAAAAAAATAAAGCATACAACTTTCACTCTGTTTGTGCTGCGTAGTAGGGACAGTGCATGCCAGAAAAAAAAAAAGCAAAAAAGGAAACTTTTAGAACAGTAAGGCTACATTTGCACAGATGACTAGCACCAGTGCAAATGACAGCAGGAGCAATCTGATTTCTGCAGCTGTTTCTGACATCTATGAGCGACTAGCTTGAGGCCAGCAAGTACTGTATATTTCAAGTAAAGGTCGGCAGCAGCCACAGCTATCTGTGGCTGTACGCCCAGCCATCCAGCGATTACAAGTGATGATCACTGCTGGACGCACTCCTAAGGAAACAAAAGGGATTTCCTAGCACATGACCATGCTGAAATAAGCACATATATTGTTAAATTTCAGTTTGAAAAAAATTTAATTTATATTTCCTACAGGTATTTATACTGACAATATACGCAGAGCTTTACATACATTCATATAAGTCCGTGCCTTTAAGGAGCTTACAATCCAAGGTCCCTATCTTATATGTACACATATACTGTACTATGGCCAATTTGGACAGGAGCTAATTATTCTATTAGCATGGCTTTGGATGTACCCATAAAAAATGGAATAGTAGGCCCATTTTTTCACAAATGATCTGGATAGATCGTTACAGGTTTTAAAAAAAGCATGCCTACCTTGGCTGTGGTTTTGGGAAGGTTCAAAGTCGGATTCAGAGCTGGAGTCTGAAGTGGAGCTGCTGTTTGATGGGCTAGATGGGATGGACTACATACACACACAGATTAAGGAGACAAGGGTGGAAATGACAACAAAAAGGGAACAAATTAGAGTTGTAAAATTAGGCAACTCACATTTTAACAGCAATAATATAAACACATACTTGCATATGCTTGAAATAAGTATAGTAGAAACTAAACACCACCAGTAATTTTAAAGCATGGGTCGGGCAACTTGTCGCTCGCGATCTACCCATCAACCGCGGGCAGGTGATAGGTAAATCATGTTCCTGATTTGCCGACTCCTGGACTGCTCCTCACACACTGCAAAGCAGTGCAGGGAAGCAACTACCTGGTATGCTGCACTAAACGTGATTGACCCTTCTCCCACGTCCATCCTATGCGCTTGTGTATGACACCACATGGGATGGACAAGTGAGTTGGGATTAGCACGCCAGGAGAAAGAAGAGAAGAATGTCACCGGCGGTTCCCTTCTGTGCATGTGAGGAAAGTTTCTGTTCTCCTAGTCAACACATCACTGTTCTAATGACTGACCTCAGCCTCTACTGACACCAACCACAGCCCTACTAACTGTCACCATCCTCTGGCACTAACTGACGCCATCACTGCACTGCTAACTGACACCATCCACTGCCCTACTTACTGTCGCCATCCACTGCCCTAATTACTAATATCATCCACTGCCCTGCTAACTGTCACCATCCTCCACACTGCTAACTGACACCATCACTGCTCTACTGTCACCATCCACGGCCCTACTTTCTAATACCATCCTCCGCACTGCTGTCACCATTCTCCGCACTGTCACCATCCTCCGCACTGCTGTCACCATCCGCTGCACTGCTAACTGCCACCATCTTCCGCACTGCTGTCACCATCCTCTGCCCTGCTGTCACCATCCGCTGCACTGCTAACTGCCACCATCTTCCGCATTGCTGTCACCATCCCCTGCACTGCTAACTGCCACCAGCTTATGCATTGCTGTCACCATCCCCTGCACTGCTGTCACCACTCTCCGCACTGCTAACTTTCACATTTCTCTGCCCTGCTGACACTATCCTCCGTACTGCTGTCACCATCTTCAGCACTAACTGTCACCATCCTCTGCCCTGCAAACTGTCACCATCCTCTGCCCCGATAACTGTCACCATCCTCTGCCCCGATAACTGTCACCACCATCCTCTGCCCCGATAACTGTCACCATCCTCTGCCCCGATAACTGTCACCATCCTCTGCCCCGATAACTGTCACCATCCTCTGCCCCGATAACTGTCACCATCCTCTGCCCCGATAACTGTCACCATCCTCTGCCCCGATAACTGTCACCATCCTCTGCCCCGATAACTGTCACCATCCTCTGCCCCGATAACTGTCACCATCCTCTGCCCCGATAACTGTCACCATCCTCTGCCCCGATAACTGTCACCATCCTCTGCCCCGATAACTGTCACCATCCTCTGCCCCGATAACTGTCACCATCCTCTGCCCCGATAACTGTCACCATCCTCTGCACCGCTGTCTGTCACTATCCGCTGCACTGCCAACTGTCACCATCCTCTTCCCTGCTGTCACCATCCTCTGCACTGCTGTCACCATCCTCTGCACTGCTGTCACCATCCTCTGCACTGCTGTCACCATCCTCCGCCCTGCTGTCACCATCCTCCGCCCTGCTGTCTGTCACCATCCTCCGCACTGCTGTCTGTCACCATCCTCCGCACTGCTGTCTGTCACCATCCTCCGCACTGCTGTCTGTCACCATCATCCACCATGCTGACTGTCACCATCATCCACCATGCTGACTGTCCCCATCCTCTTCCCTGATAACTGCCACCATCTTCAGCACTGCTGCCACCATCTTCAGCACTGCTGTCACCATCCTCTGCCCTGCTAACTGTCACCATCCTCTGCCCTGCTAACTGTCACCATCCTCTGCCCTGCTAACTGTCACCATCCTCTGCACTGCTAACTGCCATCATCTTCCGCACTGCTGTCACCTTCCTCTGTCCTGCTGTCACAATCTCTGCCCTGCTGCTGTCACCTGCCCTGCTGTCACCATCCTCCGCCCTGCTGTCACCATCCTCCGCCCTGCCGACTGTCACCATCCTCCGCCCTGCTGTCACCATGCCCTCCATCTTCCCCTGCTGTCACCATCCTCCACCCTGCTAACTGTCACCATCCTCCGCCCTGCTGTCCGTCACTGTCACAATCATCATCCGTTGCCCTGTTAATTGCCACCATCTTCCGCACTGCTGTCACCATCCTCTGCCCTGCTAACTGTCACCATCCTCTGCAATGCAGTCTGTCATCATCCGCTACACTGCTAACTGCCATCATCTTCCGCACTGCTGTCACCATCCTCCGCCCTGCTAACTGTCACCATCCTCCGCCCTGCTAACTGTCACCATCCTCCGCCCTGCTAACTGTCACCATCCTCCGCCCTGCTAGCTGTCACCATCCCTCCGCCCTGCTAGCTGTCACCATCCTCCGCCCTGCTAGCTGTCACCATCCTCCGCCCTGCTAGCTGTCACCATCCTCTGCCCTGCTAACTGTCACCATCCTCTGCAATGCAGTCTGTCACCATCCGCTACACTGCTAACTGCCATCATCTTCCGCACTGCTGTCACCTTCCTGCTAACTGTCCATCTGTCCTGCTGTCACCATCCTCCGCCCTGCTAACTGTCACCATCCTCCGCCCTGCTAACTGTCACCATCCTCCGCCCTGCTAACTGTCACCATCCTCCGCCCTGCTAACTGTCACCATCCTCTGCCCTGCTGTAACCATCCTCCGCCCTGCTGTAACCATCCGCTGCCCTGTTAACTGCCACCATCTTCCGCACTGCTGTCACCTTCCTCTGCCCTGCTAACTGTCACCATCCTCTTCCCTGCTGTCACCATCATCTGCCCTGCTAACTGTTCACCACCATCCTCCGCCCTGCTGTCACCATCCTCTGCCCTGCTGTCACCATCCTCCGCCCTGCTGTCACCATCCTCCGCCCTGCTGTCACCATCCTCCGCCCTGCTAACGGACACCATCTTCCACACTGCTGTCACCATCCACCGCCATGCTGACTGTCACCATCCTCCACACTGCTAATGGTCACCATCCATTGCCCCACTAACTGTCACCATCCTCTGCTGTCTGTCACCATCCTCTGCACTGCCAACTGCCACCATCCTCTGCACTGCCAACTGCCACTATCCTCTGCACTGCTAACTGTCACCATCCTCTGCACTGCTAACTGTCACCATCCTCTGCACTGCTAACTGTCACCATCCTCTGCCGTCTGTAACCACCCTCTACACTGCCAACTGCCACCATCCTCTGCACTGCTAACGGTCACCATCCTCTGCTGTCTGTAACCACCCTCTACACTGCCAACTGCCACCATCCTCTGCACTGCCAACTGCCACTATCCTCTGCACTGCTAACTGTCACCATCCTCCGCACTGCTGCCTGTCACCATCCACTGCACTGCTAACTGCCACCATCTTCCGCACTGCTGTCACCATCCTCTGCCCTGTCACCATCCTCTGCACTGCTGTCTGTCACCATCCACTGCACTGCCCTCTGTCACCATCTTCCGCACTGCTGTCACCATCCTCTGCACTGCTAACTGTCACCATCCTCCGCCCTGCTGTCACCATCCTCCGCCCTGCTGTCACCATCCACTGCCATGATGACTGTCACCATCCTCTGCACTGCTAACGGTCACCATCCTCTGCCGTCTGTAACCACCCTCTACACTGCCAACTGCCACCATCCTCTGCACTGCTGTCACCATCCTCTGCACTGCTAACTGTCACCATCCTCTGCACTGCTAACTGTCACCATCCTCTGCACTGCTAACTGCCACCATCCTCTGCACTGCTAGCTGTCACAATCCTCCGCACAGCTAGCTGTCACCATCTTCCGCAGTGCTGTCACCATCCTCCGCCCTGCTGTCACCATCCTCCGCCCTGCTGTCACCATCCTCCGCCCTGCTGACTGTCACCATCCTCTGCACTGCTAACGGTCACCATCCACTGCCCCACTAACTGTCACCATCCTCTGCCGTCTGTCACCACCCTCTACACTGCCAACTGCCACCATCCTCTGCACTAACTGTCACCATCCTCTGCACTAACTGTCACCATCCTCTGCACTAACTGTCACCATCCTCTGCACTAACTGCCACCATCCTCTGCACTAACTGCCACCATCCTCTGCACTAACTGTCACCATCCTCTGCACTAACTGCCACCATCCTCTGCACTAACTGCCACCATCCTCTGCACTGCTAACTGCCACCATCCTCTGCACTGCTAACTGTCACCATCCTCTGCACTGCTAACTGTCACCATCCTCTGCACTGCTAACTGTCACCATCCCCTGCACTGCTAACTGTCACCATCCTCTGCACTGCTAACTGTCACCATCCTCTGCACTGCTAACTGTCACCATCCTCTGCACTGCTAACTGTCACCATCCTCTGCACTGCTAACTGTTACCATCCTATGCACTGCTGTCACAATCCTCCGCACTGCTGTCACAATCCTCCGCACTGCTGTCTGTCAATCCTCTGCACTGCTAACTGCCACCATCTTCCGCACTGCTGTCACCTTCCTCTGCCCTGCTAACTGTTACCATCCTCCGCCCCACTAACACCATCCTCTGCACTACTAACTAACATCATCCTCAGCATTACACAGGTTTTTTACCTACATGTATAGAATGCGGGAAGGTAAAAAACATTCAGCCTTTACAAACTGTAAGTTAAACTTTCTCATTAATATCTGATAAACATTAACAAGGCTATATCTCCCTTTTAAGGATGCAAGGATTCTGTTAAACCAATGCAGATGCAACAAAACAAACTTTAAGGTACTCTAACCTAAGATCTTTTTAAAGTAGAAATATAGGCAAAACTTTTTTTTTTCCCCCTTTTGGATAGAGTAGGGGAGAGTTATAACCCCTGTCAGTTTATTTTTTGCCACCTGCGTCCCATTGGTGAGATTTACCTTCACTTCCTGTCCCATAGCCAAATCAGGAAGTGAGAGAATATCCCTTAAATTAGGGGAATTCTTGGGGACCCCCAGGTTACCAGAACAAGTGTCCACATTGGAAAGGTTTCCCTCTAATACATTTCTGTGGACAACCCAAAATTTGGGGTTTTCGTTTACTTTCACGTTCGATAATAATGGTAAACAGGACAAATAGACAGGGTGAATCTCTCTAGGGCCTCATGTACACTGCTGCTCCCAAACTCGAGTTTAGGAGCTTTTGGCATTTTTTTTTGACAAAGCCCCTGAACTCAACTCAATAAAAGCCTATGTGACCATGTACACATAGGCTTGCAGCAGAGTTTAAGGGCAGTTAAACGTTTCTCTTCTGAATGCAGAATAATCGTGTTCAGGAGAGGAACGTTCTGGCCAAAAAACACTTGGGCGTTTATCTATGTCAATGGAAAATACTCTGGTCAATCAAACTGCGTTTACACATGTTTTTGCAGCGTTTAGCCTTTTCCTGCTACCAGGAAAGTTTAATGACTAGGTGAGTTCATGTGTACATAATGCCTAAGCGGGGGGGGGGGGGGGGGGGGGGTACAGACTACAATAAAAACCTAATAGCCATTCTAATCCGTCTCCATTCTGTCCAAAACTAAAAAAAAAAAAAAAAAGTTTTGCCTTTAGTTCTAGTTTAAACACTGCAGAATGATCATACATATATCACTTAGTATTTACAACCAACAACTGATAAGAGAAAAACATGTTAGAAAGAACATTTAGAAAAGCTGGAATGTTCCAGGATTACCCCAGATTTTGATGATCCTTCCTCATCAGAGTTTGAGTCATCGGCTTCAACTGCTTTCTTAACATCAGGGTCTGGCTTGGGCCTGTCTGCTTTGCTTACTGGTTTTTCTTTGACCAATTTTTTATCTGTATAACAGGTGACTGTGTTGCTAGGATTAGGTGGAGCACGAGGAGAGGTTGTTGAAACTGCAAGTCCTTTGGAGTTGCCTTTTTTTGGCTTTTTACTGCTAGATTTGGGAGAGTCTATGTTTGGTGGTCTCTTGCTGGAAGGTTTGGCATCAGAAGGACCCCCTTTTGGAGACATGTTCTCCAGTTTGGGTTCTTTAAGCGTTAGTTTTTGTTCCTTAAAGGCTACTTTAATAGGTGCTTTTTCTTCCTTAGTTGGTTTGTTCTCAGCTGGTTTTCGAGAAGAAGAAGATTCCTTAACTGGTTTACTTATGTCACTCTCTTTGCTTTTACTTTCCGAATCTTTCCTCATTCGTTCTCTATGTTCTTTTGTTACTTTGTGGGGTTTTGATGTTTTGTTGCTATCTTTGCTGCTTTCCTGTAAACAGAAATTTGCGTTATGCAAAACTCTTTAAGGGGTAACAAATCTGTCACGCTAGATTTAACTATAAAAAAGGCAAACATACAAACCTTTGAGGGATGCGATGATGGCTTTGCTTTCTTTGGATCAGAAAATGCAGAGAGAGGAATTGTGGGTAACATGGGGTAGTCTGGACTTGGTCTTGACACAGTCTCTGCTCCCTCTGGCATAACCATCACCTTGAATAGAAATAATGCATCAGCAGACAAACTTGTTACATAACTGTGGACAGATTCAGACTTTCCACACTAAAGTAAAGAATACTTTTTATAAAGCCTGTGAAGCTTTCCTATGCACAATTAGGTGATCACTCCAAGGTCAAAAGTATAACTATTAAAATTGTTCAATTGTTTCCGTAAGAAATTCAAACCGGAAATTATTTTGTACAGTTCTGGAATGTGTTTGTAATATTGGCAGTTATTAACTTTTAAATATGTTAATTTCACTGCATAACAGTACTCATAGGACACAGCGCAAAACTCTTGATATCTTTCCAACCATAATCATGTTTTTAGCCGGGCCCAAAAAAGTGAGTTGCAGTGTAAAAGAGGTCAAACTTTTGCCATGCCCTGCAAGTATATGATGTCAAACTTTCAGAGAACATTAAAGCAGTATTAAACTCAAAACAAAAAATATATTATATTGCAGCTTACCAATTCTTAGATGTGATGGCTACATACCTTTTCTTCTTTCAAGTTCCTTTACCTGATCAGCGTCCAGCAAAAGTAGCAATTAGAGCATTGCGGCACACCACACTGGCGTGGTGCTTACAATGATCAGCTTTTATTCATTTACTGTACGCAAAACGTTTATCCCAAAAGGAATAAAAAAAATATAACTTCCTAAAATGTATTTAGTGGAGTTCACCTTTAATGCATCTAACACTACCCTCTCCAACATCATACAATGATGTTGCTCCTGCATCCACAGTAGAGACACCCTAGGACAGGAAGCGTATTACTGGCCAGATGACCAGATCAAAATTAAAACAAGGTTCCAGTTGTTTTTGTGTTTATTAAAAGTCAGCAGCTACAAAAACTGTAGCTGATGACTTTTAATAAAGACACACTCACCTGTCCCAGGATCTAACGGTGTGCTCACCTGCACCATCCCTTCTCTCACTCTTCTCTCCCTGGGGCCGGCCTCTCAACTGTGGGCACCCAGCTATAACAGCTTGTGGCTTCACAGCCAGGTGCCCACTGCGCATGCATGAGTCGCGCTGCATTTCCAGATTGGTCTGGCAGTCTTCTGGGACCTGTGAAGTGTCCCAGAAGACTGCGTGGGGGAAGGTGGGGAGCCGGAACTGAGCTGGGAGTGGGAGAAGGTACCTGTCAAAACCAGGTATCCGCTCCCCCACAAAAAGTGCCAAATGTGGCAGTGGAGGGGGGTAGGAGGCAGGCGAATGGAGCTTCCACTTTTAGGTGGAAGTCCGCTTTAAATAAAACCTAAGGAATCATACACACTAAGCTTAAGAAATGCTGCTTTTACAGGTGTTTAGCCTTTCTTTTTTCAGCCTGTAAAAGCACTGCAATGTTAGCCTATGTGTCCATGCACACATAGGCATTTACAGACGTATTAGAAGAGAACGCTTTACAGGCTGAAAAAAGAAACCATCAAAAGAGCATGCAGGAGAGGAGCTGAAGAGCAGAAAAAATGCTGCACATGCCTAGATGCGTTTAGGTGCTTTTAAGCGTAAATCCATTCAAATAAATTAATATTCTAGCCAATGCAATCCATTACTGTTCAAACATTTGATGCGCCTAAACAAGTGTGCAATATGCAGATTAGGTGTGTTTTTTTAGGAGCTTTTTTTCCTGCCAGAAGTTCTGCTGTTCAGAGGAGCAAAGCAATCTTTTTGCATGTGGCCTGAAAAGAAGAACTAATGCAGCCATCAAATTCAGGGATTTGTAAATTGAGATTTATTAAAATATTTGTTTAAGGGATTAATACCGCTTTATGTAGTGCTAGTTATCTGTATATACTATTGTATGCTGGAAGACAGGTATAATCCCTTCCACACTTTCCTTAAAAACAAACAGACTCTTTTGCACCATTAAACATGAGTTTGTAAGCGAGTTGTCCTGCAGGTATCTAGGCATACACAACTCACTTTTTTTGTCAGTATACTTTAACAATATCATAATGGTTCCTTCTGTGACAAAGTACCTATTGCTGCAAAACCTCTCTTTGACTACTTACCCCTCCTGCTTTGAGCAGCTTCCTACGGAATTCCTTGGTTGGATTATTGAAGGTCAGCTTCTCACAGCGCAAATGGTTAACTGGTGGATTCCCCTCCAGGTTTAAAAACAAATCATATGTAAAACACACCTTTTTGGGTTCTTCCTGCACAAGAAATAAGAATAATTGCGTATTGTAAGGTTTCCTTAAAACCAAGTACAAACATAATAAAGAACATCTATAACTACCTTGTTTTTGAAGTATACTTCAATCGGTAAAATGAAGCCAGCATATCCAGTTTCTTCTACTTTGTAAGGGGGTTCCTTGCACACTATAAAAAATAAGATTCAAATGCAGCTCTATGAACCAGGGTAAGACAGCTTCACATTTAACAAGAACTCAGGGATACAAATGTATCAGGATAGGCTGTGCAAATCTAATCTACCTGCCAACCCTTACTCTTCCAAATTCTGCAGGAGGCTCTTTAGCTTTTGGGTATCATATGACTCCCCATAGTCTCCTACAGGGAATTTTGTTAACAATAAATATGTTATGAATGTAGAAAAAGCAGGACCTGGTGGAGCAAGTTCATGGATCAGCATCTTTAGAAGATAGATTGCTGAAAAAACAGGTGCACGTGAGATGCACACCTCAGAACCACCTACATTTTCTATTTTTATCTTACAGCTTCACACTTATCACTATACGAGCCGGTTCACAAATGTGCACATTAAGATGTGTTTCAGAACACATTGATTCACATGACATGTAAAATAACATTCTAACAAAATAAAATTCTATTGTGGCCATTCGTATACATGTGGTGCACCTGCAGTGCGAATTTAAAAAGAGTCCTTTATGTTTCTGAGCAGTGCAGTGCGGGTCCGGTGCGAATTACAGGTTCTTTAGCTTAAATGGGAATGCTTCTAAAATCGCATGCCATCAGTTGCGAACACGATTTGAGCCTTGCCAATTCACATCAAAATAGCATCTAAATCACACCTGACCCACTGAACAACTACTTTGGAAACGGACCTGAAAAAAGCACCGCACATGTCTGAACCCTGGCTTACTGATCTTGTGTGCATTGTTCCCTTGACAATGATGCACCTGTGTGCATATCAGTAAAACAAATGTGGCTTTTTTTACGCCTGTGTGCAAGAGGCCTTACTGAACAAATTTTACATTTTTTTTTAATGTGTATGAATGTTTTGTTCAAGCTCATCACTGTAAGGAAGCAGAAACTTGAAGATGCTTACCACGTTTAGGTCTGGGAAAGCTGTCATGAAGCCGGAAAACCACCTTCTCCACAAAATGTTGAATGTCACACTGCTCAGGGCCCACGAACAAACACCATCCAGTCATGAGTAAATCCATCAGTAGTTGGCTTCTTCCTTAGCTGAGCACGATGTCCCAGCTCCAGCTTCACCTGAACAGTGCACTATAAGAAAAAAAAAATGTAACCAAGGAGTGCAAAGAGTTGTGAGATTATGCCAAATATCAAATAATTTAAGTCCTAAAATCTAGACAGAGTGCATATAAACCTAAGCCAGCCTTTCTCAACCAGGGTGCTTTGACAAAATGTATAAAAATTGCCCAAAACTTAAATACAAGCCAGCAGGTGGAACAAACCTGCCTTTTAGTTACACAAAGCCACAGGTTTTCATTGTGCACCATTACGACCTTCTAGCCACCGGCGTCCTTACAACCAATGACATCTTCAGTTGATAAGGAGGATGTCAGTTGCCTGCACAGCATCCTAGTTTGACACTCCCCTGCCCCTCTCCATCAGTGCTGGAGTCACATTAGCTCAGTGAAGGAGAAAAACTGAGGGAGAAGAGAAACACTGAAATACTACTCAGCACCAGTGTGCAAACATGTGTTTGCTTTGGAAGAATAAATCACCTCTAATGTTGGATGTCCTACATATGTGGATGTTGCTGTGTTATATACAACTATTAGAATAGTTTTTCACATTTTAGAATGGGGTGCCCTTTTAAAATTATGGACAGTCTTGAGGCACCCCATTTTAGAATGGGGTGCCTCAAGACTGTCCATAATTTTAAAGGGTGCCTCAGGACTGTCCATAATTTTAAAGGGTGCCTTGACTGAAAAAAGGTTGAGAAACACTGACCTAAGCTCTAAAGGCTGCAACAGCTTTCATTTGCTTGCCAACTGCCACAAGTTACATCCTAATTTTAAAAAGGCAATATGTGTTTTTTAAGCTGGTTAAAAATCGCACAACGTAAATAAAAAAAGATGCATGTAGACATGTTGTACAGTAAGCAAAGTACAATAACAGATTACCTGAATGTGTTATATCCTCTAGCACAGTGGTTCTCAACCTGTGGGTCGCGACCCCTGTGGGGGTCAAACGACCCTTTCACAGGGGTCCCCTAAGACCATCAGAAAACACATATTTCTGATGTGTAAAGAGCAGCTACTGTGTAGAAAGCAGCAACTCTGTTAAAAGCAGCTACTGTGCTGAAAGCAGCAGTATTGGAGGTAAAACGACACTCATGAATTATAATTACTGGGTAAATAAATTTATGTTTGGGGGTCACCACAACATGAGGAACTGTATTAAAGGGTCACGGCATTAGGAAGGTTGAGAACCACTGCTCTAGCAGCTATAGATGTCAAAGTTAAAAAGCCTATACTCCATTCCTAAAAGAAAGTATCTATGCTGTCATTCAGCATTTAGATTTTCATTGTTTTATGCTGCTGATCAGTTGCTATGAAGCATCACATACAAAAATTCTTTCCTCATGCACCTTCATAATTGAAGCCCAATGCTCTTTATCTGAAATCTTTATAGAAACCAAATGTAAATCTTTCACATTTTCATGTTCCTGAGCTAAGGAGCAAATGAATATGCATTGTGGTAAATGCAGAGGCTTTGTTTAGGTTGACATGAGACGCTTCACTTCAGGCTGCATTCTTCTGAGCAATTCAATGCTCTTAAATTCAGTCAACATTAAAGAGATTCTCTACTTTAGATGTATTGTGTACATTTCTGATGTACAAGCAGCGCTGTCCTACAATATCTGAGTATATTCCTAAAATACTGTCTCTGTGATGGATCCATCAAAATGCCAATATGCACAAGCTTATGCTACTGCACTTCATCACATTATTAAAAACAAAAAAAAGAGATAAAAGCAAGGATGAAAAAGAAAGTTTTTCCCAGAAATGTTTGTGATCTTCTGTTTCCTCAATTGCTTATATAAATACAGATTCAGCCATCACATCACTAGACATGCATTAAAATGCTATTGGTGAAAGGGTTAACTACTCATGCTGTTTATAGAACCATCTCTAGAACATGACAGCTATCTGGTTTCAAAACTTGAGATCCCACCAGCTATTTGTACATCTGTGCAAAAAGAAAGGTTGGATCACCCTAATACAAGATTAAGATTCTATCTCTATTTGAATAGTACAGGGACATTTTAGTCAGTATGGGTTTCCTCCAAAACCACAACACCAGCAAGAATGATGGAAGCTATTGAGTCTTCTATAAGAAATTTTAATTTAGCATTAAAGAGAAATGGCAAATAGCTAAAAACACTCATGACAGCTAGCCATTTGGATACATTTTTCACATTGCACAAGGAGACAGGTGACATTGCTGATTCAGCAACTCAGCTTTCTTTGTCATCCTCCACCTCCAGCCTCCTGCATAATTTCTGTCCAGTGAGCTGACCAGGGCAGAATCAAACCTGACCCAGCAAGCAGCATAATGATGCTCTGCAAAAAAAAAAGGACAGAAGTGAGAGTAAGTGATAACCTCACCCACATCCTGCAAAACAGAACTCCAATTTTATAATACTACTAAATATAAGCAGAAGTTCCCACACAGTTACAGTCTTTGAACCATATAACTCTGTACACTGTGCTGTACATGGCATATTCAAGTGTTGTATATGAAATACTCTGGGACAGCCTATTCCTTACACTGTGCTGTACATAATATACTTCAGTGTTATATAGTTGCAAGAAAAAGTATGTGAACCCCTTGGGATTACGTGGAGTTTTGCATGAATTGGGCATAAAATATGCTCTGAACGTCATCTAAGTCACAACAATAGAAGAACACAGTCTGCTGAACATAATACTACACAAACATTAGATGTTGCCATGGTTTAATTGCACATAACATGTAAACATTCACAGTGCAGGGAGGAAAAAGTATGTGAGGCCCTAGCTTAATGAATTCTCCCAGAGCTAATTGGAGCCAGGAGTGAGCCAATCTTAACTCCAATCAGTGTGATGATATTGGATGTGTTGCTGACAGCTGTCCTGCCCTTAAAAAACACACACCTGTTTTGGGTTTACTGGTTTCAAGAAGCACTGTCTGATGTGAACCATGCCTCGCAGAAAAGAGCTCTCAGAAGACCCACGATCAAGAATTGTTGACTTGCATGAAGCTGGAAAGGGTTACAAAAGTATCTCCAAAAGCCTTGAAGTTCATGTGTCCACGGTAAGACAGACTGTCTACAAATGGAGAAAGTTTAGCACTGTTGCTACTCTCCCTAGGTGTGGTCGTCCTGTAAAAATGACTGCAAGAGCACAGCGCAGAATGCTGCATGAGGTAAAGAAGAATCCCAGAGTGTCAGCTAAAGACCTACAGAAATCTCTGGCACATGCTAACATTTTGACACATCTACAATAAGGAAAACATTAAACAGGAATGGAGTACATGGGAGGACACCACGGAGGCAGCCATTGCTGTCCAAAAAGAATATTGCAGTACGTTTGAAGTTTGCAAAAGAGCACCTGGATGTTCCACAGCACTACTGGCAAAATATACTGTGGACAGATGAAACCAAGATTGAGTTGTTTGGGAAGAACACACAACACTATGTGTGGAGAAAAAAAGGCACAGCACACCAACATCAAAACCTCATCCCCACTGTAAAACATGGCGGAGGGAGCATCATGGTTTGGGGCTGCTTTGCTGCCTCAGGGCCTGGACGGATTGTTGTCATTGATGGGAAAATGAATTCCAGAGTTTATCAAGACATTTTGCAGGAAAACGTACAACCATCTGTCCGCCAACTGAAGCTCTGCAGAGGATGGGTGATGCAACAGGACAATGACCCAAAGCATACAAGTAATTCAACAAAACAATGGCTGCAACAGCACAGAATACGCCTTCTGGAGTGGCCCAGTCAGAGTCCTGACCTCAACCCGATTGAAATGCTGTGGCATGACCTTAAGAGAGCGATTCACACCAGACATCCCTAGAATATTGCTACACTGAAACAGTTTTGTGAAGAGGAGTGGTCCAAAATTACTCCAGATCGTTGTGCAGGTCTGATCTGCAACTACAGGAAACGTTTGGTTGAGGTTATTGCTGCCAAAGGAGGGTCAACCAGTTATTAAGTCCAAAGGTTCACATACTTTTTCCTCCCTGCACTGTGAATGTTTACATGTTATGTGCAATTAAACCATGGCAACATCTAATGTTTGTGTAATATTATGTAGTATTATGACTGTGTTCTTCTATTGTTGTGACTTAGATGACGTTCAGAGCACATTTTATGCCCAATTCATGCAAAACTCCACGTAATCTCAAGGGGTTCACATACTTTTTCTTGCAACTGTATGTGACAAACTGGGACAGCCTATTCTGTAAAGTGTGCAGCATGGAACACACTTGGGGCTACACTGTACTGAAAGTGACATTATACAGATCATTGGACTTTGTATGTTGTGCAGTATGTTACTTACTCCACACTGATACACTTTGAATGCCATGCTATGTGTTATGTATTCTATACCATTAATTACTGCCAGTTCTATTTGTACTACTATTTTTATTTCCAACCTATTAAATGAATCAGAACATTTTTGCTAGTATTACCAAAATAAATGTTCTGACATCAAAAATAATGAACCATATGTGATTTTAGCTAAAAAAAAGCGTATGTTACAAACCTTTAAAGTCCCAAACTGGGCTAAAACTATTTTTTTAATATCCTTCTCTCCGACCCCCCTCTAACCCATGCTACTTTGCCTTTTTTTTCCATCCCTTGTAATGCCAGAGATATTCATCTAAGTCCTCCCTCCAGGTCTACCGTTGCCACCAGTTCCGGGTGGGGGACTACTGATCCATCACCGAGATGCTTCCCCCCGAGAAAACGTCATCCTCTTATGGATCCTGAGAGAATCCCAACACTGGACATCCAATAGGAAATGTCCATGTCATTCAGGCACTTGCGAAGAAGGACCAAAGCAAAAAGTAAACAGAGGATGAGAAGACATGGAACAGCAGAGACACATGACTGTGGCTTAGGTAAGTAAAAAGCATTCAGGTAGTACTTTTTTCAATCAAGCGATCAGATAGAGGTGAGTGGGAGGAAAGGGTGGCTGGCGGCTGAAGATAAGCCTTCTCCCAATTTAAATTTTAGCCTAGCCCACCTCTCTCTCTACATTCT